TAGTTTTAATTATTTATAATATCATGAAAAAGGTTTTTATTTTTATTTTTATTTTTTAAAGATAAAACTAGTAAAAATAAAAATTGTTCCTAAATCTTTAATTTTAAGATAAAAGTAAAAAACATTTATTATTTTAAAATAGAGAGAATAGTTGATTTTAATTGTAATTTTATTGGTTTATAATTTTTTTAAATAAATTAGTGATAATATTTAAAAATATTTATTTATAAATTGATTTTATTTATTAAATAATAAATAATTAACTATTTTATTTGTTATTAAAATTTTTAATAATTAATTAAAATAAATATTTAATAATTTATGTGACACTAACAAATTTAAAAAATGACCATAACTATAGTAAAGAGAAGAGACCAAGAAAATTTAGATATTTGCCAAAAGTTTGTTTCCTCCTCAAAAAATCCAAGTATGTTATATATATGTTGAGTGCATGTCATGAAGATATGAGCAGTAATTATTTTTCAATAAAAATAAAAAAATATGATTTTAAATCATATAATATATTAATAGAGTAAGTTAAAATATAGAAGAGTGTTATATTTTATTATACAATTTAAGATAAAAAAATAAACTAAAGATATGAATAGTACTTTAATTACCAAAATATTTTAAATAAAACTTATAATCAGTTAAAAAACAGAATTCTAGTAAAAAAATTGCTATTAGGGTCTGTTTTCAAATAATTAAAGTTCATGTGTATACTTTAAATTTGATAAAAGCTCATTTCCCTCATTCTTTTTTCTTTGAATTTTTTTTTTTAAGAATATGATATAATTACAATGTCATGACATTATAAACACAGAATCATGACATATCATTTTATAATTAATTTTTTTATTTAAGATTCACTCTTAATATTACATATATATATCAGCCCATTAATACTTGATGGATATAACCTAATGATCTTAAGTGGTATTATAGCTATTGTAAAATAAGATAAAATTGAGTGTATACATAAGAAGAGTAACAATACATATTAAAACAAGATAGGACAAGGTAGATAAGAAGAGAGAAAAAGTATGACAAACAAAAAAATGTTTTAGAAGTATGAGTTTCTGTTCTATCATTTCACCATGTTTCTTCACACCATATTGTAATTAAGCCTATTTAGTATAGACTAACGAAAAGGATAGTTACATGAATCATGTGATCGAAGATTAAGTAGAGTTTTAAATAAAATAAAGTGGAATATTGAATAGAATTAGTGGTTACAATCATCCACTTAGTGGATTATTAAGTGAAATGAGTTGAAGATAGAAGATGAGAAGATAAAAAGATGATGTAAGGTGAAACATCTATTAATAAATATAGTTTAAAATATTCCCCCTTAAATATTTTAGGTTTATGAATTATCTTATTAAAATATTGCCAAGAAAAATCCAGTGAGTTAGAAACCATGCAAAAGGAGTATATAACCATTTTCTTAGTTTGATCATTTCATCAGCTTCATTTGCTTTTTTATTCGATGGACTGATGTAGAAATGCATATTTCTCCTTAGTTGTTTTTTGCAACAGGGGGGTTCTATGATGCTGTGCACAATATCAAGGAGGAATTTCCTGAGCACAGAACTTAATGTGTTAATGATTATATGTTGATTGATTGAGCTTTGTTTTTCATACTTGTTACATATTAAAATTGTTTCTTGGCTTTTCTCTCCACACGGATTCCACCAATTGGCATTTTGATTAAAAAAAAAAGAGATAATGCCACAAAAATAAAGAATAATGAACTAACGCATGGATCAACTATTCTTTTTATGACGTTGTATATTATTAATGCAACAATTTTTTACGGTCACATCATTCCCACTATACAATAGCACTCTTGTAAAGCAAGCTCCATGCACCGTTTCTTGCCCATTGAAGAGGGAACTAATAAGAGTATATGGAGCAAAGAAGTTGATACCGTTGCATACGGACCAGTATGGTCAATATTTACTTTTTTTTATTAATCCAAAATAATACAAGGTTTATTCTCATTTTGGTAAAATTTTGACCATTTCAAGCAAATTTTCATGTACCAACCGATATTTTATGGATTGTTATATGTGCATAATGGTATAAGGTTTAATCTCCTTTTAATTCCTTTCGGTCAAATTTCATTATGTTCGAAGAGTGGAGTTAATTGATTTTATATAGGCCATTGAAAATGTAACCGAAAAAGAACAGCATAATAGCATGAATTAAATAAGAAACGGAAAATTTTAAAACATGTAAAGGTAGATTTTGAATAAAACTTAATTTTTTATTTAAATGAAAATTATTAATGAAATGTAAATACAACTTTTAATTAAATATCCACAACATTATGGATTGCTTGATTATCTGTTAAATCATGTAAAACCTCCAAATATTCAGAGAGACCACCTTGCTTTTGCTGTCCAACTCTAATTTGAGTACGTCTACTTTAAGAAAGGAGTAAAAGTGGCAACATGAAAAGGCATAACTGATGCCAATGCATGTTAAAACATCTGCTTCTCTGTTTTGCAGGTAGATGGCGGTTTAGGGCCCTCAACCATTGATATGGCTGCTTCAGCAGGAGCAAACTGCATTGTTGCAGGGACCTCAGTGTTTGGGGCCCCTCAGCCAGCTGAAGCTGTATCTCTTTTGCGAAGGAGTGTTGTTGAAACCCAGAAAAACGCTGATCTTGTTACAGGGAAGGGACATTACTGTTGGATGTATAGGAGAGCTTCTTGAAGGGAATAAAGTAACAGAGAAAATCAAGCTTGTTGAAAGGGAAGCAATCGATCATTATGACAGATTTCATATTGTGTATATTTTACTTTCTTAACTTGTATTTCTTTTTATGTAAGAATAGTTTTAGGCTAAACTTTAATCACTAACCTCTCTATAAACAATGTATTTTGTACAGAGAAATGTATAACTTTCATCCAATTATCCCTTCGAATTCTCTAGATTTTTCAGGATGTAATGTACATATTTTAACAAAAAAATAAAAAATAATCCCGGACGAAAACAATTTTAATGTAATTCACAAAAAAAGAAGAATAATTCAGGAAATAGCAAAACAATTGAGAAAAGATTGTTGAAGTCATATTTTTGGAATTATATATTAAGGAAAAGTGAAAAGACATTTAAAATACCCAGGCTCTTGATGAACTATATAAATTTATTAAGATTATTTGAAAAGTTTCATGTGCTAACATTTTAATTGTTAAAACTTTATATGGGGTTAATTATGAAGATAACTAAAAGGCCAACTCGAAAATGATATATATTTGATTGAAGCAACATCGCAAAGATGCAACATCAATCAGAAGAGTAGAAGCAAAAGAAGAAGAACATGTTAGAGCAACAGTCAGGCACTGCCTTTACAAATCTAAAAACCCTCGTCTCTCCTACTCGTAGAAGACCTGCATGATGGTGAAAACCAAGACGATGGTGGCAAAAATTACAGACACGACAGCCCATGGCTTCATAAAATAGTTGTCGATCAGAGAAACTCGCCATTTTGGCGACAATCTCTTGCAATAACAGTTTACTTCCTCGCAAAGGTCACCATAATAGAAAGCATCCATGTGAGATCCTCTGCAAAGTCTGTTTAAGAGGTCCACAGCCTCCTTATGGTTCAACCAGTTACTAAAAATGCCAGATCTGTATGGTAAATCCACATCCTCAGTACTGTCCACCAGAGTATGTAGGAACCCAAGAGGGGGAGTGAATTGGGTTTCAAAAACCTTATGCAATTTTTAGAATAAACCAATTATCAAGTACAAACAATCAATAAGTTATTGTAAACTAAATTGCAAGAATTAAAAGAGTAGAGTAAGAAACATCAAATGCTTTTATTTATCTTGGTTCATCACCTTCTTTGGTGCCTACATCCAATTCTCGAGTTTCCTACAGTTAGGATTTAATCCACTAACATTAACTTTAACGAGTGCTAATGAAATCAATTACAATAACTTGCTACAGCTATCAATCATTTAAATCTTTTGTTACAAATTTCTCAACCTGTCTTACACTTTAAGAATGGATTTCTAGATCTAATAAGGTTTTTCGAATCCCTCTCTCACTTTTTATAAAAAGAGAACCAAAAAAAAAAAAAAAAGAGATTTTATAAAGTGCAAAATAGAAACTTAATCACTCGTGATTTTTTAATTTGAAAACTCTATTCTTCGTACTTCTCCACTCTTCTAGATCTAGTATTATAGCTTGAAAATGCTTAATGAGTGATTTTTTTTTCTTTTTATTATTATTGTTGGAGTCTTTTTTGGAATTAATAGATGCCAAATATGATAGGTAAATCAATGACTCAACACAAGAGGTTGGAACTTGCCTTTAGGGTTGGAACTTGAAGAATTTTCTGCATTGACACTTCAAAAACCAGAATTATCAAAGGTTTCAAACTCTATTCTAGGGGTTGGAACCTCTCAACTGCAAAATACACTTTCTGATTTTGATTACTCACAATAAATAAATACAATCATACAATTAAAGAGACTTCCACCAAAAAAAAAAAAAATTCAAAACTTGATATTTGAAAATGAATTCAATATTATTAAAAATAAATCATATATATTCACAAGTGAATCAACTTTCAATTCATTAGCAAATCAAATAAATATTCAAATTCACATTTGATTTTCAAATCGTCAAAATGAAAAATAACAACTAGAAGCAGCCCAAGGCCACCCAAGGCAAGGGTTACATGCTCGAAGCTAATGAGGTGCTAATGAGGTTCCGAAGTATTCTTTCCGTAGTTGGATGGATCACGGAAGATGGGATTTCAAGAGCACCCTCTTTCTTGTTGAATATTACATCGATCCAAGATGTTTCTTGACGTAACTCCTTCAAATTTGACTCCTGCCTCTCTAAGTATACTGGCAGAAGGAATGGAATTGATCCTGGATTGCAACTCCAACCGAATCTAAAAAATTCGAGCGCCTGAGTTTGTATCATAATCATCATGTATGGAGTATATATGGACTAACACATTTACTTACAACGTGGACTCCACCAAGTTCATAGTGTAGCCAATGATGACGTTGTCTCATCCGGAGTAGCATTCATATACCACCACTCACATGATCAACTTCCCCCAGCTAGTATGCACCTGGCTCTCTCTCAGGGCAGCAAATGCCACCATCAGTTCGTTTATGCTGAGGTACTGAGGCGCCCGTATTCGTTGAAATCATAAAGTAGGAAATTAATGACTTAATTTTCAGCCTGTAAACATAAGCTGTTGATTTGGACCAGCTCGCCGCCTACGGTGGTTAAGTGTTTGCAGCTGTTGTTGGGCGTAACTTTCCGTTCACTGGGGAGCCAGGATAAAATATGGAAAATTTTCATACGTGCGACGCAGGGTCCACGTCAACACGGATCGTGGGGCCGGGTGCGCGTTAGGCGAGGTAGGTTAGAATGAGAAGTTTGACCCAAAAAAACGACGCCGTTGGACTACGGTTCTCGGTTCCCTATTAGTATATTCTCTATGTTTTCCTTTCCCCGTTCTAGTCTTTTCCCTGAAGTCAAAATTCCGGTAACGAACTTGTATTCGTTCAGATTCCGATGGGAGTAGAGCCGAAGATCGCTCCGTCGATGCTGTCATCGGACTTCGCCAACTTGGCGTCGGAGGCCGAGCGTATTCTCAACGATGGCGCCGATTGGCTCCACATGGACATCATGGTAATCATTTCTCCGGTTGATCTTAATCCCAGTTCTGTTTTTGAATCGAAAACGAAACCGTAATGGATTTCAATTTACAGTTGCTATATAGTCTAATTTGCCTAAGCTTTTGAAATTTTGAGTTTTTATTGAAACAAAGTTTATCCTCTTTATGATATTGCTTTTTTGATTTTGCCTTTTTTTTTTTTTCCCTTCTTCAATTTTTTTATTGTGCGGGTTGGTTGGTTTTGTTGTTTTGTTCTTCTTACGTTTTGGGTTTTGGTTGACTTTCTTGCAATTTTTTGTTTTAGCCTCTTTTTTCTACATGGTTATTAGGGATATGTTCTTTTTAATCTCTGTTTAAGTACCTTAAAGATTTGTTATTTGTTGATTATGTTCTACAGGCATTTTGTCCCGAATTTATCGATTGGTGCTCCTGTTATTGAGAGTTTAGGAAAGCATTCAAAGTAACCATTTTTTTTTATTTTTTTTTGGTATTACCATCATTTTTATTTTGAACATTGACAAGCGCACAGGTCTAACTAGACCTTCTATCCTGCCTTATCTACTATAGGGCATATCTTGATTGTCACCTTATGGTGACAAATCCAATTGATTATGTTGAGTCTTTGGGTAAAGCTGGTGCCTCAGGCTTCACCTTTCATGTTGAGGTCTCCAAAGGTGTGTTAAGATGCATTACTCCATTTTTCTTGCCACTTCTTCCTGCCATCTTAGCTATACAAGTTTGTTCCTTGTTTTTCTGATGGAAGGGTATTGTTGTACCTTTGGCAGAAAACTGGCAAGAGCTCATCCAAAGAATCAAGTCTAAGGGGATGAGGCCTGCTGTGGCATTAAAGCCTGGAACACCTATTGAAGAAGTTTACCCCCTTGTATGGTTCTTTTTATTTTATCTGATTTTGAGTTTTCATATTTATTTTGCTGGATTTTTGTGTTCAACAAAACGCACATTCATCATATCACAATTAACTGTCTAGATTCACCAATATTGTGCTTAATCATTCTGTAATTGTAACGCAATTAATTTGAGTAAAGATACAAATAAGGATGTCAACTTTACAAATAGAAAAAGTTGAAAATTAACATCCTTAAATAGAAAAAAGTGTAAAGTTAATATCCTTATTTACAACTTTTCTCCAATTTAATTTCAAGTGATTAAGATTCTACATGTTTTCAAATGTTGGGGATTGTGTTCCTTGTCTGTTTAACAGGTTGACAGTGAAAATCCTGTTGAAATGGTTCTTGTGATGACTGTAGAGCCTGGATTTGGTGGACAAAAGTTCATGCCAGACATGATGGAAAAGGTGCCTTCTCATTCATTCCTTATTCCTTTGTAAATTTGAATCTTAGGTTGCACCTTCTATGCTAGTATCTTATTATTGTTATTAATTTTCATTTGTGGTGTGTTTTTGGATTTAGGTGCGAGTTCTAAGAAAGAAGTATCCATCACTTGATATAGAGGTGAGTCCATGTTTCATTATATAACCATTTTCATCAAAAAGAAGAAAATAAAAGAAAGAGAATCGCTTAGTTTGATTATTTCATCAGCTTCGTTTGCTTTTTTATAATGGACTGATGTAGAGATGCATATTTCTCCTTAGTCTTTTTTCTTTTTTTTTTTTTTTTTTTCTAACAAGGGGGTTTTAAGATTTTA